AGGGGGAGTCAGTGTGGGCCCAGACATGAGCCTTCCTGAAGAAAGACAGTGTGGACTGGGCAGCAGGGGGCACTCCAGACCCCCCATGTTCAGTGCTCAGCTCCATGAACAGGTGCAGCAAGACCTGGGGAGGGCTTGTTAAATTCTGTGGTTTTCTCTCTCTTTCGAGACACTCTTCAAGAAACCCTTTGATGTATATCCTTTTATTAATGCTTTTGTCTTATTTTCAAGTAAAGTTGTGTATTTATCATGTATTATAACATATTACATTATCTTACTACTCAAGGTCTTAGATTTTTTTTTTCTTATTCAAATAGGTTACTTATTAGAATAAGTCTCACCTTATTTTTCAGAGTGAGCCTGAAATTCTGAAACTTGGTGAAAGTCCTGAGAAGTCTCAGAAGATACCAAACCATGTGCAGATCCTTCAATTTATTTATTGAATACATGAAAAGACAAGTCAAATTATTTATGGCTTACAGCAGCATTGTACAAATAAGGTAAAAACTGAAATGTGCACTGTTCCAGGCTTCTAATGCAACACTGTCCTGACACTGTGTGTACAGATGACCTCAGTGTTCACAGATTATGTGTTCATTCTTCCACCTACTCACTAACATTGATCTGAATCCCCAAGTCAAAACTGGCTTCCTTTCATGGTGATCTGTGGGATTGAACTGGTTGGAAAATACTGGAGCCACAGCGGGCACATCCCCAGCTGAGGTCAACAGGGAAGACTCTTCCGTCTTGTGTCACTTCCCATCGTGAAACAAGTGTCTTTTGCATGGGCAATTTAGTGCCAGATTTTCACATATTTGTTGCTTTCATGTCTAATTTTGCTGTTTTAGCATAGTTCGGCTGTCCAGGGTTCCCAAGTGCCAAGAAGGCTTTGATGTGCCTCATGGAGAACGTATGTGCTTGATGAACTCCATTCAGGCATGGGCTGTGGTGCTGCTGTCCACAGGCTCATCACTCATCAGTGAACAGTATATTTAATGAGGACATTCACTGATTTGTACATGAGGACACCTTGGAAAGTGCTGAAGAACCATCCACAGAGGTTTATGTAGCTGTGGGAGAGATGGAAGAGCAGCTAAAGTGCAGATTCATGAGATGATGACCATTAAAAAGTAGAGTCAACAGCATCGATAAAGTGCACATTGGAAAAGAGGTGTATGGGTGTGGGTCTGTGCACGTGCGTGTGCACGTGTCTGTCTGGCTGTGCGTGTGTGCACTCGTGTCACTGGAAGCTCGAAAGAGAAAACTTACAAATTTGTGCCCTGTCCAAGTCTTATGATACGTAGAACAGTGATTCCTTCATAATTTCTAAATCAAAGAGATAAGATTATGTCCTTAATTCAGCACTCTGCTGGTTTCCAATGTCATTGTTCCTTTGTTTGTTTGTTTTTAGTTTTCCTTAGTGGTTCATTAAACATATGAGGACTACTAAATATTACTACCATTATCCATATAATCGTTGTTGCTGATATTATTTCTTTTATTTACTGTACATTTACAATTTTCTCTGCTAGTATGTCTTCCCACTTTTCTGACATTGAGACCATTTATTTTCTTGAATAACTTTTCTCTTTGTGAGACGCTTGTTTAATGAAGTTTTAATATATTTTTTCCTAAAATATATTTTTATCATAAATCCAACCAGAAACACTCCTATTGCAACTTAGTAGCCAGCATGTACATCAGACTAGCAGGAAAATTATGAAACAGAGGAACATGTGTGACGCACTAAATCTCCACGACGCACCGTGTCATCCTGCTCACTGTTCACATTGTGTGACTCTTCTCACAAACTGTGGCTTATTTCATAAAAAGACTGTGACGGTTCACACTCTTGTCTGTTACAGAGAATTGCCCAGAATCAATCAAGGGCAGATTTCTACATATAATTTCAAAATACTGATGGCGGATGTGTGTGTGTTTGTGTAGAGAGAAACAGAGAGACAGACAGAGATGTGACACCTGCATCACCTGTCAGACTCCAGCCCACATAAACGCAGCTATTGTCCTTCATCCTGAGATAACAGACAACGTACATTTTTGATCTTTTGATGTGAGACAGGGCAATATGACTAATTTTGCCAAAACAAACATGCACAGATATACCACACACACTCACAGCCTGGTTAATAAATTAAAGTTCAACAGGTATGCCAGCTCATTATGCAGGTGGAACACGTTCTAGAATCTGCTGTATGACACTGTGCCCACAGTTAGCAATACTGCATTGTGCACTCAAAACGTGTTACTAGCGAGATCTCATTTCGAGTTTATTTACAACAGTTAAAAAATAGTCCACCTGAAATTCATTATTCCCTCTTCTTCCGTTTCCTGTTATATGTCAGCCCACAAGTTGTAGATTCTGGCTCTCTGGTCCCACTGGTTTAGTGGGAGTCTGGGTTCCTGAGTGACGTTATGAATCAGACACATCTTCTCGCCACGGCTTCCCTCCTGAGCACGTTAGAACAGAAACGAGCAAGATGCAGATCTTTGTTATTGTCTCTTACTCCACTGAGATGCTGGGCTTCTTCTCCATGAGGCAGAGCATCCTGCTAAGTTCTCCTGTGCAAACTGAGCTGGGAAATTAGAACTCTGTAGACTTAGCTGAAGTTTGGAAAAAAACTGAACCATAGTTGCACATATACCTAGTTATTTTAGATTTCTTCTCTGATAATTCCAAAATCAGTGCTGTATCTTAGTCTGCTTCACACGATTGTTTTGTCATTTCAGAGTATTTGTTTTCCTTTGTCTTTTATCAGGTCTTTTAACATTTTGGGAAAACTCCAGCACAATACATGAGTTAACAAAAACTGAAGAATCGGGCTCTAATTTTTCATCAGCATCTCCTGACTTATAATCCATTCAAAATCCTTGAAGGGCTGATACTCCAAGATATGTGACTGCCCTTGGGACCAAGAGCGAGCTCACAGGGGGGATCTAAACACAGCATCTATCCCAGACCCTTGACTCTTTCTACGTAGTGGGCAGTGGTACAGATGGCAGTGCCCACAGTCATAGAACAGTTGTCGTGGCCTGCAACACACAGCCATCAAAGGCAAACGTGTTTTCAAAAGTTGTATATTAGGAGCCGACCCCGTCGCTCACTCGGGAGAGTGTGAGGCTTGGAGTGCCGAGGCCATGGGTTCGGATCCTATATAGGGATGGTCGGTGCACTCACTGGCTGAGCGCGGCACGAGTGACACAAGCCAAGGGTTGTGATCTCCTTACCGGTCACAAAAACAAAACAAACAAACAAACAAACAAAAAGTTGTATATTAGGGATGTGATTACTGCTCGTATGTTAGCCATTATGAGTGATTTTTTTAAAAGTTGGGATCTCTGATGAGATTAAAATATTAAATAAAAGATCAACATTCATAATATGTAGATAGAAATTTGTATACTTTAGATGAGCAGGAGTCACCTTGGGAGGGGGGCATTTAAAAGAGTCTTTTTCTCTTTCCCAAACAGTGAGAAACATTTTCCTAAGTACTGTACAGGATACCATTTTTTGCAAGGTCTCTGTGGCTTCTAAGTACTGTGTCTTCTATCACAGGGTAGATGGAGCACAAGGCAGGCCTGGAATTCATGGAACAGCAACAATGTAACAATATAAGAACCTCTCAGGGGTATTGAGAGCCACATCACCTGATAGGGTAGAGGGAAAGAAAGCAGCGTTTGGGCTGTGATCATAACTGGAAGCAAGACCCAGAGCCTGAGATTATGAGGCAGACTTGGGCTGGGTCCAAGTCAGCACAGGAGAAGGCAGGTATTGAATGAAGGCAGATCTGCTCTCAGAAAGCTGTGTTGGAAATAAATTAAAATGTAGGGGGGACATAAAATATAAGTAGTAAAATTGTAGGAAAATATAACCTTAATGTACACAGTCTTGTAACAATGCATAATAAGCAAAGCAGTTTTTTTTTAGGGGCCAGAACAAGGGTCAGGCCCGAGCACACTAAACAATGCATAAGCAATGCAGCTTATCAGGGGCCGTGACAAAGGCCAGGCCCAAGCGCACTAAACATTAATAGCCCCCCACCGGTTCCAGGAAATAGCTGGTTCAAAGCAAGGCCCCGGGGAAAGTAAACAATTGAGAAATGCGCTAAAGGGGTGCCAGCCTGCTAAAACCCACCTGTAAACCCAAAAGGCGCCAGCT